CTAATTCAGTTGCTTTATTCTTCAGTTCTAGTAGTCCTCTTTGGCTTTGTTTTTGATGTTTTCAGTTTCCTCGTTGAGTTTCTCATTTTGTTCATCCATTTGTTTGCTGATCTCCGCTAGTTTATTTTCTCTATGATTTTTGCTTTCTTTAAACATATTTATCACCATAGTCTGAAAATTATCAATTCTTTGCATTAGTCTGGCTTCCACTGGAGAAATTTCCTTTTATTCATATTTTGCTTTTGATTGATCCTTCTTTTGTGATTTTACATGTTGTACTATTTTTTTTGTTGAACTTGGATCATTTTGTTATCTTTTTTTTTTTTAACTTTAAACTTTGTATTCTGGTTCTTGTGGGAAAATTTTCTGAGTGAATGCCCTGGTGGCACAGTGGCCAAGTGCGCTGCTGCCAGTTGAAAGGCTGGGGCCTGCACCTACCAGCTGCTCCACGGAAGAAAGATACAGCAGCCTGCCTCCACAAAGACTTACACAGAGCTAGGAACCATACAGGGCAGCTCCACTCAGCCCCACAGGGTCACTGTGAGTCACGGCTATGGACTTGGTATCTTCTCCTAATAACCATTAGAGGATATTCATCCTTAGGTTTTTTTTTCAGTGCTGATTCAGGAGTTCTGGATGCTTCATCTCTGGAATTCAATACACATTGCACGGGGCAGGCAGGGTGGGGTTTAGCTGGTCACAGATGCTGGTGTAAGCAGTGGAGTTTGACTTTCCTGTGGTGAAAGTGGGGGGCTTTCTATGTCTTTCCCTCCCAGGCGTCCCTGCACAGGCTGCCCCATGGTGTCCCGCTGAGGGAAGAGAGCCCGCGGTTTCCCTCTCTGTCACCCGTCAGTCTGAAGTATTCCCTTCACCCTGCTGCCCTTGCAGTTCCTCGCGGTCCTAGTGTCCGACCGTCTTGGGCCTCATGGAGATTCAACAGCATTCTCTCATAGCACCAGGATCTCCCTTTACCCCCTCCCAATTGCACAGCCCACGAACTCTCATGGCCAACTTGCACTTCCTTAAAAAAAATTAGGCTACACCTTCCTCAGATTATCTCCTTTTCTGTGTTCCCTATTTGGGGTGTTACCCAGCCCCATCCTAAAATGGCTGTGATGAGCAAATGCTCACCATGTTAGTGAGTAGGTTTTCCCAGCTTCTGTGCCATCCCCACTTCTCCTCTCCCCAGCTTCTGGACTCACCCCGACTCTCCAACATCTCAGCTGCTATCTGGAGTTCTGAGATCTCAGTCTGTGCCTGTTTTTATTTGTTGTTCAGTGGGTTAGTTGCTAGGGGAATAAATGGGAGTGTCCACTCACTTCGCCATCTTGCTCTGCCCCCCTTATGTTCATATATATAAGATGGCAAAAATAACTTCATATATATCAGTTTTTACAATAAACCAATTGAACTCATATGTTAAGACTGTAAGATTAGATTTTATTTTAATTAGTCATGTACCCATAATAAGAAATATTTAAAATTAAGTTCTTTAAAGTCCTGCTGGGACTTCTGGATTTTATAATATCAGGGTGAGAAAGTGACATTGAAAATAACTGATTTCTTGCCCAAGGGACAGGGGATACCATTAACAAAGGATCATAGATGGAGAAAGTGAAAATAAGTTACCATTTATTGACTTCATCCTAAATCTTACTTGGGGCCTACAAAGGAAATTGAGAAGGAGCATCAGAATGAATAAATTGTGCCATGTGTCATGGAAGCCAAGACAAAGGAGGAGAACTTCAAGTGTGCAGTCATGGAATCCCAAAAAAGGAGAATTCAAGAAGAAAAGAAAGGAGATTTCAAGGATAAAGAGGATGGCCAGCAGTATTTGTGCTGAAAATGTTGATCAGAATGAGTATTGAGAAGACATCTTGGATCCAGCTTTAAGAGGACAGATTAGTAGGCTGTTGTTGCTGTTGGGTGACGTCAAGTTGATTCCAACTCATAGAGACTCCATGTCACAGAGTCGAACTAGTCCATAGGGTTTTTCTTGGCTGTAATCTTTACAGGAGCAGATTGCCAGGTCTTTCTCCTGCAGAACCTCTGGGTGGGTTCAAACCACAAACCTTTCAGTTAGCAACTGAGCATTTAACCATTGTGCCACCGGGGTTCCTTCTATTAGTAGGCTACTGGGCCTAAAATACCAAAAGTCACTAACAATATCAGAGTGGTCTCTTGGTTTTAACTATGGATGATATTCTTTCATGACTTAAAACCAGCTGGACATCCTTTACCCTTGTTTTGGTCTCTCAGTCATTGCCCCATACCTGCAGGACCTGTTGAGGCCTATCAGACTATTTGCCTCTACATTAAATGGCCACGGAAAGCTGTGTCTTGGGTTCTTGTATATTATTTTGACATCTTTGAGTATCTCTCTTTTACTGTCAGCCATCATTCTCATAGTTTGCCATAACTCGTGAGCTGGGTTAAGCTGGGTTCCGTCCTAATAGGTGAATCTACTCTATATATTGACTTAACCAGGTTTCTGAACCTGAAAGTTAAGGTCCAGGCCCTGGTCAATCATCAAGATAATAAATATCACCCTGATATTGCTGGTGGCCTCTCCCTGCTTGGTTATATCTCAGATATATAGTTTAGTATAAAACAAAGAATAACCTGGGGTGAGCATCTGAGGGGCTGTTCTGATTATAGTAATATGAGTTGCACTACATGGATTGTGACATATATATTGGCTCTTTGGAGGCTTTTCTGTTTATTTCCTGATCTCACAGGAGCAGGACCCTCAAAGAGGACTAACTGGTTGTTTCTTTCCTAGATGTTCAAGTGTAACTTAGAGATTCCTGCCTTAAAGTTGATAATTCTCTTGATGCAGATACTACCCAGCCTCCAGCAGGAAGCGTTATTTATTTTGTATTAACTATCCTCTCCTCTGACACCTACAGTGTATGCTTCACTTCTCTCTGATACCAAGGCTATACCAGTAGACTTTATTCTCAAAGAGTCTGTGGCTTGGAAGCTTAACAATTCTGAGATCATTTGCTATAGTCCATGTTCTTAAATAATGTGATGATGGAGTTAGATGGCCCCCAGGTCTGTTTTTATCATGACAGATGGAAATTCATAAGGGCTTTTAACGAAAGAAATGGAAAGACTTCCGGTGTTCTAAATTCCAAACATCACAGTTCTAAAGTCAAGGCTGAGACATTCCAAGTAGGGAAAGGTTGTTGGCAATATCAGGGTGGTCTCTTGTAAAGGGCCCACAGTCTGGCTTCCAAGAGGCCACACAGAGTGGCATTTATTATCCTGGTGATTTACCAGAGTTTGGCTTTTAGCATCTCAGTTTCAGAAACTGATTTAATCAACATACAGAGAACAGATTCATTATCAGAGCTGGACTCACATTAACCAAGCTCACAAGGTTGATTTGTAAACCAAAATGCCAGTTGACATTTATATAGAGAAATATAACTGACTGCTATTCTTAAAGCACATATGTTTAGCTCATTCTTTCCCTGTAGGTAGACCTACACAAGGAGGCAGATCATAATCAGAAGGTTATTTGGTGAGCATGAAATCAGAATAAAGGCCAATCATGTTTAACAGCAAAGGCTAAGAAAGTAATCCACCTCACACCAAATATGACCCTGGCAATGGAACTGAATTTCTAAGAAAAACTTCTTGTGCCCTGATTTGGATGGACACTTGCCAATGTTTTGTTTCATTTTTTATGTATCAAGGCTAACCCAGGCCCATGCCTACCAAACCACCTCCAGAGTTACTATCTTTCTCTAGATACTAATACTGTACTTTCCGTTAGGTTATAGTCTAGTCTCAGAGGTGTGGGAGTCATTCTTTTTCTGTAAATTTACAGTTGAAATTTCATTGAGCAGTCTTCTTTTGAGGTTCTTGGGGGGATCCTTCACTATACTTACATTATTCAGGGGGAGAGGGTGGCACTGGGAAAGCTGAGTGGGACAGCTCACTCATGCCACATTCTCATTTTTACTCTACTCCTGTGTCACATGTACTATTATTAATACTTTTCTTTAAATCAATTCATTTTAAAAAAAACAAATTCATTTTAAAAGGAGATTTGTATATCCCTAGCCAGTTTGTCATACTGTGGTGGCTTGTATGTTGCTGTGATGCTGGAAGCTATGCCACTAGTATTTCAAATACCAGCAGGGTCACCCATGGTGGACAGGTATCAGAGCATCCAAACTAAGAAAGACTAGGAAGAAAGGCCTGGTGATCTTCTTCCAAAAATAAGCCAGTTAAAAACCTTATGGATCACAGCAGAGTATTATCTGACTCACTTGCTTTGGACACGTCATCAGGAAGGGTCATTCGCTAGAGGAGGACGTCGTGTTTGGTGAAGTAGGGGGCCTAAGAAGGTGAGGAAGTCCCTCAATGAAATGGATTGACATAACAGCCAAAACAGTGGACTCAAACATGCCAGCAATTGTGAGGATTGAGGTTGACACAGGACTGGGCAACATTTCATTGTGATGTACATAAAGTTACCATGAATCGGAGTTGACTTGATGGCAGCTGTCTATCTCTTTATCTATGTATCTATCCATTATAAATGGAAAAAGCTATCCTCTGTTGTAAAGGGAATGTAGCCTTAAAAATAAATATACTGAAAAGTTCTTATTTTGCCCATGAACTTTTTTAGCTAGATATTATTTGCCGTGAAAGGCTGTGAGCCTGAGCGTACGTGTTGAAGATCCACTAGAACCAAACAGACTCTCTTATCGACATAACCAACAACATCTAAAGGGACTGAAAAGCAGAATAATTTAGGAGATTATTTATTATATTTAGTGCCTTGTCCATCTATCAGCTAAAAAATAATCTCACCTAGGGTGTCCCACATTTCAGAGAAAGATGACCTAGGCTTTTTGTGGCTTTCAGGATATTTGAAAACTGTTTGCACAACTGTAATGATGATGCCTCTTCCTACCCAATCTGGCCCCACATTCTGCCTGATACAGTTACTGACTGTCTTATTCCCACTTCTCCCTGCACAGGTACACACTGGCAGCTCAGGACCTGGTGATGCGTGCCCGGGGCGTCCTGAAGGACAGAGGATGGCGAATATCTAATGACCGACTGGGCTCAGGGGACGACATTTCTGTATATGTCATTCCTTTAATACATGGAAACAAACTGTCATGAAAAGAGCCCAGAGGATTGGGAGGACTGACGGGAAGGAAGCTGGGATGCCTTTTGTGGGGCAGGATTGGGAAGTGCCCAGGCGGAGTTCCAGATACTGCAGTCTCTTCCCAGCCCAGACGGGATGGGTGGGGAGTTGGCTGCTGAAAAGCCTCTGGTTATGCTTCCAGATGACCCTTGGGTTTCAGTTTCCTTCTTAGTAACAGGTCTGGATACTCAACAAGAGCAAAAAAATGCTGCTACTGCGTGTTGTATTTTGGTTGGTTCCTCTTATAGGCATCCTTGTAGGCCTTCTGCCTATTTGGAACACATACAACATATTTATTTTATCTAGAGTAGCTGGGGCAGCCATTTTCAGGTGTAACTGGCAGAAGACTCTCAAGCTGGTCAAGCTGCCAACTTCTCTACGGGTTAAAAGTGCTGCATTGGAAAGTTGGGGATTTTTCCTCAGAAAGTATAAGCGTCCACCTTCTAGTAAGCCTGAGATTTTATTTCAGGGAACCTTTGTCTCTATCTCCCTATCTCTCTCTCTCTCTTTTGTGGTGATGGTGGGGTAAGGCAGAATTTTTCCTTTTTTGACATTCCTTGAATCTTTACTTTTTCCCTTCCATAGAACAGGCCTGGGACTTTCCGGGTCCTTGCTGAGGAATTTATGTGTCGAAGCCCAACCCAGGCTGTCCCCAGAACCTCTACCCCACACCACCCAGGCAGCCATCTGGAGCAGTGCCCTGTATAACAGAGTGCTATCTTTGTTGTATAACTGAATTTGTCCCTGAATTACATTTTCATACCAAATCAGTGTGTTTTCATAAAAATATGGGTGTTTCTCTGGACCAACAGTTTCTCTATTGTCTTCAACAGTCCCCCTTGTTATGACTTTAGGTTTCTCTGTGAGAGTCTGGGTTTTCATTTCTGGAGTGGTTGGCCCTCCCCCACCTGCTGTGCGGTGGGTCACATGTCAAGCAGTGTCTAATGCAGCAGAGGTATAAGAAATTCCTAGTGTTAGTCAGTTCCCCATACCTCATTTGAGGACCATTCCTCCATTCTGGATGCAGGTCTTGTGGGCCATGACTGTTCCTAAGCCCACTCCAAACAAAGTGGAAGTATCAAAAAGATGTCACGAAGCAACAGTTCCACTCTCCCCGTCATCTTGGTGTAAGGCCTACTCAAGACAGCCCTTTGATAAAAGGGAATTTGAATTGGTTTGACGAACATTCTCATGCTATACTTCCTGTTCCTTCTGCAAGGCATCATGTCCTTGCTACCCAAGAACTGAGACCCCCATTCCACTGTAGCTCCACCTGCAAGTGGTCCTTACTAGTAAAGCAGCAGCAGCTGCAGAAACAGTGGACACTATCTACCTGCTGTTTCTCTGCAAGGAGGAATAACAAAGTAAATGTTTAGAAATCACTTCTATATCTTGGGCAGACTGCTGCTCTGCTCTGCATTGTGGGAATTTGTAGAGCAATGTCCAATTACCAAGTTTTCTTCCTGCAGACCTACTGTGGTGCCAGCACTGTTTTGACAGCTTTGTGTAATTACAACGTTCTTCCAACCCAATAAGGAAAGTGGTAATTGGTGTGATCCTAAAAACTGCTGGAGAGCCGATTCCATTTCTCATGTTTGTTTGAATTGCTTCCCCAGAGGCGAGAGGATAAGAGCATTTCCTCAAAGCTACTAAATCGCCTGTATTCCTAGAACTGTAGATATTTTCTTAAGAGAGGCCTGGAGCCTTCCTACTCAGGAGTGAATTCATTCCACAGTATGGAAATGGTGACCTGTCAGGCATGTGAAGTGCTGTGGGAACTCACCCCACCAGGTATTTGCCAAAATGTTGCCTGAAAAGAATTCAACTATTATCTTGTCAGGAATCTTCTTCATCTGATAACTTTCCCTCCACCTTTAGCAAACTTAGCCACTCCAGTATCTGCGGGGATAAGTTCGTGGTAAACCATTTGCTTCCCTGGCAGAATATGATGCTGTAGGAAAACACTCAGGCATCCTACAGCAGTGTGGTCAACTTTCAGCTCCTGCCTGGACTCCCAAAGTCATGTACAAACTGGAAACTCGAGAAAGTGTTCCATGGAGGACCTGGGCCTTCTTTGGGAAGCTGCAGTCACAAACAATCACTCCTTCCCCGTGTTCCTATTGCCTTTCATTTCTTTCCCTTCCTGGGCCTATGTCTGGGCCTCACCTTAAGCTTCTCTAGTTTTATTTATGTCAGAATTTGTCCGACTCTGCTAGAGTCAGAGTTTGAGTGCAGATACCACACAGCTGTCATGAAAACCATCTAATCACTATGGCTGTTAACCAGTTCAGCAGTTCAAATCCACCAGCCACTCCTTGGAAACCCTATGGGGCAGTTCTACTCTGTCCAGTAGGGTCACTATGAGTCGGAATCAACTCTATAGGAATGGGTTTGGTTTTTTTGGTTTTTTAAGACATGTCTCAGACAAAACTCTGGAACTACCTTATTCAGTTTACCTTAAAACTTGAGCATTTCATCCTACTGGGTTTAGTTAGAAATGTATCCAGGAATTTTTCTCATAAGCCATAGGAAAATAAGCCCTCTTGGGTGGAAAGATCTTAGTACCATACTCAAGCCATGTTTCTGCTTGGGGCCTGGGAGGAAGACTACAAATGAGCCGAATAGGTCAAAAGTGGAAAAAATGATTTGTTAATGCCCGCAGCTGATCTGCTGAGCACTGATGTTGCTCTGTGGATTGAGCTTACTCTGTGTTGGCCTTATTTTTTATCGAGGCTCCAAGTCACCCAACCCGGAGAAGTAACTTTGTCTATATTACCAGCTGGCCCTTGGAGCATTCCTGGAAAGACCAAAAGGCAGCACACTCAAAATTCTGCAAAAGATATTTATATGTGGTTCTGAAACCTTGTGTATCTGACTTATAGCCAAATCTGCTTGCCCTAATACCTCCAGAGAAAACTGTGTTTAATAAAAAGCTTTGATTTCCTAGTCAAGGCTTTAGAGTTGTCTTAGGGTATGTGTGGCCACTTACTACTTCAATGAAAGGCCCTTTCAGTTCTAAATCTCTTTGTTGAGCTGGCCCTGCTCTTCAGACTCTTTGGTGAGACTGTTTTCCTTAAAGAGAACATTCTCACATGGCATCTGCACTCTGCAACTAAAGCTTTGTTCTCGTAACACCTGAAATAGCGGTGTCAGCAGTCAGATGTAGTATGTTCTGCTGTGGTTTTGTGTACCTTCCTGCTGTTTCGGGGGTGGGCAGGGAGAGAAGAAAATCAAGCTAGGCCAAGTACTCAGCTGTCTGATATGACAAAGCCCAAAAAATGAGATTTTCAGTTATTTTCCACAGTATTACTGCTTTGGAGGGCTTGGGGGTATTTAATGTTTTAACTCCTAGCAATGTACCTCCATAGAGCTACGTGAAGTCAGCTTTGCCCACCCTCTTCTTCCTCTTCTCTCTAAGCATTCATTTACTTCTTGGGAAGAATTGCAGCCATAGGTACATACTATTGGGCAGGAATGAGAGTCCCAGTACCCAGATTTGGCCTCAGATCTTGGCCGTTCAGGCAGGGTTTTCGGTTGACTAAGAGCACTAGCATGGAAACATTTTAGGACAGTCTCCTATGTCTTTAAAAATTCTAATTCTCCCCTTGATTTCACCTCCCTCACCTCCTTCATGTGCCAGTCAACTTTATTTATAAGGCTGCAGGTGGTCAGTGCTTTCCTTCCACCACAGATTGAGGGTTTAACCTTTCCTTAAGTGATCCAGCAGCTCCACTGTTTTCCAGGTGAAGATGTTAAGCTTTTATGAGATTCTGTTTTTATTAGATTAGTGCTTGTAGGGACACTTGGAGAGAGCGGCGTGAGAGTCATTGTCTATGCAAAGAACAGCCAGGCTGACCTTAAAAGTTATCAGATCAAAGAAGAAAATAAAAGCGTCTTTGGCCACATGATAGATTAATTTTATGTTAGGAACTTGGATTTTTGAGGAATTGTATTTTTTGGATGGCAGAGAAATGTTGCAGCTTGCATGCCACAGCCCACCTGTGAGTGAGCTTTTGGTTTAATGTGGGCATTGTAGCACAGGTGTGTACACTGGGATTTTTCAAAGGACACTAGGTGAGCAACTGACTTTCCTCCTCTTCGAGCACCATGGCTCTGTGTCAGGTTTGAGTGCCGGTCTGGGAAGTACTGCTGTTTTCAATCTACAATGTTATCTGTGTAAATAGCTTTATTTTTTTTTTCCCCTCTACATCTTAGATGGAGTTGTGTTCATGTAGCAACCAGGTAGACAGTGACCAAATGAGGCTGTAAATGTGCTGTTGTTTTCTACTGTGACGTACTTGAAGGAGGAAAGCCTTGTGTCCTCCACTCTCCCAATCTTCCAAGAGTATTTTGTGTTTGTCTGGGGAGTCTTGAGGTTGTTCTTTTACCCCTATGTTGCCTCCATTTTCTTTGTGTCTTCTGGAAACCCAGGGAGGCCCATGGTGGAGACCATTTTTACGGAATGTACCATGGTCTGGGTTTCCAAAAATACCCTACGTACAGTGAATGAGAGAATCTGCCTGAAAATGGTTTCAGAACCGTGTACTTTTATGCTTTGTGATTGTGAAACATTGACTTTTGTAACCCAAAATAAAAACTGTTTAGTAAAGGGGATCTATTTTGTGTGTTTTGAGACTTAGGTGCAATGTTCCATGGAAAAAGCTAAAGAAATGTATATGCTCAATGACATTTTAAAATAAAATATTATATATATGTATATAGGACATCTTTAGCAAAACTTTTTTGTGTCATTTCTTTGAACTCACTGTGAAGTTCTTTTGTTTTCGTTTTGTTTTCCCTCCAACAGATTGTCTTTTTTTGCAGGGAATGGGTTTTGAGGAAAGAAAAATCCTGAGGCAGGGGAAGGTATGGAATAGAAAATAAATATCAGTGTAAGTTGTTTTGCTAGTTGTTTTATAACCACAACAAACTAGTACCGATAATTCCCTGTATAAAATGACACAATAAAGGTTCAAAGATGGGGGTGTTCACTTAGCAAGACTGGAAATTCCTGTCTCTGATATTTGGAATTTAGGCTGCAGTCCTTGTTTTGGATGGATCACTGGGTGTGTGGCACAATCCATGCTTTAACCAGATTTAAACAGAAGAGTGGCCACGTGGCCCAGGTAGAAGTAGATGAAGTACTTGGTTTCATGTGTCACATAACTACCAAAGTTCCTCCCTATGATGCAGTGACAGGTGAGGTTGTCAAACTTCTTCTTGATATGGGCCACATTGTCCTTCTCTATGTTAATATTTCTCCAACATCGAAGTAGCACACTCCACCACTTCCTGTTGCATCTCCTTCAACATGTCTGCATTTTTCATCGTGGCCTTTTGATCACATATGGTTATGTGGAGCAAGGACTGGCTGACTGCAGCAGTCTCCTGGGGGAGGGGCTAGACTAGTTCAGGCCCAGGGGGATCTGCTGTGAAGTTTCTTCATTTCAGGTAATGGAATAGCCTAATGTAGGGTTATGAACTGTGAACACAGACTTAAAAGAAAATCTAAAGGGAGTGGTGCCAACACTATAAGCCTTCACAGGACTAGCAATAGAGGCTAATACATTTCAAATATGCATCTAAAAGAACTATCTGGATATCATGTATAATAAATGCACAAATTCAGAGAAGAGAATTACTCCCAAAAAGTATTCTAAGGCTAGTGCCTGATCTCCTTACTGAAGACACTAAGAGTCCAGGCTCTCCTTATTCACTTAAGCACTTATAAAGTGTTAGTACAACATACCATCTTAAAGACAAAGGTTACTTTAAGGAGTAGGGTAAGGCATCAAAGAAGGCTAATTCTGCTTAGTTCTAAAACCCAGGAAGTTAAAAGTCATCTAGAAAATATCAATACAATGTTTAAAATGATCAAAGTATTAATTCACAAAAGAAAGCTAAAAATAGATTTTAGATTATTTGAAGTTTAGTTAGGAAGAGCAGAATAGAAGACAGTCATTTTAGAAAGATTTAATTGCAAAACCTCCCGAAGTCTTTTCACTTTCTGTCATGAATTGAATTGTGTCCCCCAAAAATATATGTCAACTTGGATAGGCCATGATTCCCAGTATTGTGTGGTTGTCTACCATTTTGTTATGATGTAATTTTCCTATGGGTTGTAACTCCTAGTCTCTGCCTGTGGTTAATGAGGCAAGATTAAGTTACGTTAAAGAGGATTAGGGTGGGGTGAAACACCATTACTCAGGTCACAGCCCTGATCCAATGTAAAGGAAGTTTCCCTGGGATGTGGCCTGCATCGCCTTTTATCTTACAAGCGATAAAAGGAGAGAGAAGCAAGGAGAGAGAGAGAGACCTCATGCCACCAAGAAAGAAGCTCTGGGAGCAGAGCGCATCCTTTGGACCTGGGGTCCTCTGCTGAGAATCTCCTATTCCAGGTGAAGATTGACGACAAGAGCCAACAGATAGCTAAAGGCTTCCTATGGAGCTGGCACCCTGAATTCAGACTTCTAGCTTCCTGGACTGAGAGAATAAATTTCAGTTTGTTAAAGCCATCCACTTGTGGTATTTCTGTTATAACAATACTAGATAACTATGACACCTTTATTATTACCCTAATGCTCATGATGCCTCCTTCTCCCCCATTCTATACTAGAAATTCTCATGGAAATAGTAAAGCCTTGGATTAGACACTTGAAGATAGGGGTCCTTGCTTCCCTATGGAAGACAGAGAAGTCTCTTCTAGCCTTCTCTCATGAGCAGTACTTAGTTGATCAGGTTAGCTCTCCAAAGATGGCTGCCAACAAGGCCACCCAGGCCTATTCACAAACACTCCTCCTCCCATCAAGAAGTGGAGTCATTCCCTACCCTTTGAATCTGATCTGGCCTTGGGACTTGTTTTGATTAATAGAATGCAGAGTGACATTCTAAGACTTCTAAGCCTAGGTCTCTGGAGGCCTTGTAGTGCCTGCTATCACTACTCTTGGAAGCCAGCCATCATGTAAAGGTGAGACTAGATTACTGAATGATGAGAGGCCATGTCGGAGAGAACCAGAGTACCCAGATACTGTGAATGAAACCATCTTTGATCCTCAAGCCCCAGCTTGACATCACAAGAAGTGAGAGGCCAGCCAGCTCTCAGCTGTTCAAACCACCCTATCTGAGGCCACAGACGTCATGGATTAGAGAAGAGCCATCTCCACTGAGCCCTGCCTGAATTCCTGGGACCCACAATGCTGTGAGCAAATCAAATGGTTTCTGTTTTAAGCCACTAAGTTTTGGGTGGTTTATTACACAGCAGTAGCAACCAAAACAAGATATAGAGAAGCTGGCTCTGGAGGATTTGAGGTGAAGTGATTAAAAGTATAAATTAAAAAGAGAAGAAAATGGGATTGAGAAAGTATACTTGTAACTAGAGAAATAATTCTCCATACAGAACCTGGTAGGGTGACTGAGATGGGGGGAAACCAGTTTATAGCAATAATGTGGAGGCTCCAACTGATAGCCACGCTGGGATCTCAGCAAGTGTTCTTCACAGCTATGCTTTGGCTTCTCCGTGCAGTTTATAATGATAATTAGTAAACTAGGAAAATGATGACTCTTTTGAGGCTACAAGTCTAGAAGGGGAAGACAAAGGTCCTTAACCCCCTACTTATGAGAACACCATCCCATGTTGTACCATTTAAGACCCTTGGGAGGGTCACCTGGGTGTTTGTCGCCCTAGACTGTGTTACTTGAGAGTGTTAGCTTATATCTGAGGGAAAACAAGACAATTTTAAAACCGTTTGTGTGTGTGTGCACCCGTGCGCATACCTTTTAATTATTATTTTAAAATCCCTGTCTACAAAACACTTCAAACTTGTCATCCCAGTTTTTTCATTTAACTAAAGGACAGGCCAAAGAGCAAGTTATATATCCTAGCAATTACCTGTTGCTGTTGAGTCGATTCCAACTCAGCAACCCTATAGGACAGAGTAGAACTGCCCCGTAGAGTTTCCAAGGCTGTAAATCTTTATGGAAGCAGACTGCCACATCTTTCTCCTGCAGAGTGGCTGGGGAGTTTGAACCACCGACCTCTCAGTTAGCAGCCAAGTGCTTTAACCAGGACTCCTAGCAATTAGTCTGCCTTTTTAATTGCTTTTTCTGTGACTAGAGCCCTGAAAAGACTACTGCTTTCTCAGTACATCTCTCTACATTTTCAGTCTCTTTCACCTCTAAACGAGATCTTCCAGTCAGCTAACCTCCTTTGCTCTATTGATTCCACTTAGGCTGCCTGCAAGAAATACAGAGTGGGACTGAGCATGAGGTTGGGGCAGGGTGTACCTTGATTGTCTTGCCAGGGACTGAATCTAATCAGTTTGCTGGTGCAAGAGAGCCATGAACAGGGCTTTGGAAAGTCTGAATGCAGTCCCAGAAGACAGCACTTCCCTGAAAGGGGCAGAAAAATCTAAGCCTTCTGCTTCCCCTCTCTTTAAAATTTAATATTTGCAAATACAGTCACTGTAAAGTAAAAGTACATGAGCTCATTCAGAAAGCAACACCCAAGGCACTGTTGAGGAGTAGGGGTGGTGGTTGACATGAGAATGGAAGAAAAGTGAAGCTGCAGCAGCAAAATGTCCCAAACTAAGTCACCTCACACCGTTTAAACACTTTGCTGCAAGTAGTATGGTTAGTAACCAGACATCTGTCATTTAAAATAAGGAATTGTGGAACCTGCAAATAGTGGTCTTAGTTCTGAATTAGATATCTCACCTCCCTGGTGAGTTTGGTTAGTGAGAAAAAAAGTTGGAAGAAGATTCTGGAGAACTGTGAAACCTCTACTCTCATTGTGCTAGATTTAAAAAAAAAAAAAGATATTTCCCATTTCTTGAAGTTCTAAACACAAGTGAGGGAACGTTTGATCCATCTACCAATTGCACAGTGGAATTTGAAGGAAAGTTAAGTGTGGTTGTTCTCATACTTACTAAAAAGATTAAGTGCTATCATTACTAGTGTTATATGCCTTAAAATATAGTGCAAATATACAGAAATATTTGAGTGAAATATAGTGTATGTCTTGTAATTGTTTCAAAGCTATACGAGGGGTGAAAGAGTGGATGGGGATATAGATGAAACAAAATTGGCCAAGTTGAGGAAAGCTATCCAAACTTGGAAATAAAACAAAAGTATGGCTGCATGTCCTTCTCTGTCTTTGCTGGAATATTGTCTAATAGGCCTACCCAAGGATTATTGAATTCTCTAGGTCAAGGTTCAACAAATTTTTTCTGTAAAGAGCCAGATAGTAAATACTTCACGCTTTGTGAGCCATTTGTTCTCTGTCACAACTACTCAACTCTGCTGTTGTTGCAGAAAAGCAGCCATAGACAATCTGAACTAGAACTGGTGCTAAAGTATCATAAAGTCAAGCTTTATACCTTGATCAGAAGAATTAACTCAGGAGAATGTATACTGACCTTGCCTCTCTGGTGTGAAATGAATGAAGAAAGGCAAACATTAATGAATATTAA